TTTGTCTCCTATTTTATTGTTGGAGAGGCAGAGTTGTGTGAGTGTCTGTATGAAATAAGAAAGATGAGTATGATCGAAATCAGGAGAAATTATTATTCATATGGAATCCATTATTTAGTTACAATTTTTCTTCTCCTTTAAAGATTTAAAAAAGGATTATTATTTTTCACGTATTATAGATAAAACTTGTATGTTTTTGAATGAAGACAAACAAAGCAAAGTGAATCATTTCTAATTGCATTATTTTGCGTAAACTAAATACTTTTCTCTTATATTCTATAGTGCGTTATCTCTGTTATAGCATTCGATAGATTATCATTCCGATGACATTCACGATCTATAGAACTTATCGAGAAAAGAAACGAGTCAATTACTGCAAACAGAAATAGAATAATATTGGAATGAACATTATATTTTATATAAAATCTTTCCTAAAAGAGTTCCTAGTTTAAAGCAAGAGAATTTTCAGTTTAAAAACTATCGTTTTAAATAAGATAATATTAGAAGATCTTCTAGTTTGAAGTTTTACCTCACGAATAATTAATTAATTAATAAAAAGAATTACTCAGGAAAATTTTTATTGATTTTTTATTGCAATTAAAAAATATTTTTATTTTATTTATATCTTTACTCAAATACTCAAATAAAAATAGTCAGATGAATTCATGAGATTAGCTGAAATCGTTTTATTCGTTAAAAATAAGAACTAGTCAAAACAAATTATCGAACAATCGTGTTTATTCATCATCTTTTTTATCTGTGATGAAATTAAACAAGTACAAAAAGACTTTACCTTATTATCTTGTAGTAAATAATAAGCCACGATTTCCATATCAGCATCGGTCAACTTCCTTTTGTCGAACCATATTAACGGTTGAATTTTACCATCGTTGATGATTCGTTGAAGTTCTGGATTTTGATATGTAGGTGGCTCTGATAATAAACTTGTTTTCTTTGATTCTAAACAGATCGATATAAAAATCTAATTTATAAATGAAAATATTTGAACAAATGAACATTGTTTTACTGCAATATTCAAACTAGACAATTTTTTTACAATACTTCACGTAACCTATTGATCATTGTTTATAAAATAAAATAAATATTTATGAAACTATTGTCTTCTCTGCATATTAATCTTATATTTCATACAAGCTATTTTTTAATTTTATTCAAAAAAATTCATATCGATAGTTTGTGAATATGGCACTAAAGACTACTATTTTTGCAAAGAAAGAATCGAATTTCCGTCTATCGATATCCCTATATGTTCTCACTTTAGTCTACACAACTTTTCTTGTTTCTTTATTTTTACATCAAATAGTACAAGAGATCATTCGTACTTATAGAATATAACTAAAATGCACACCTTTTTCTATTACTTTTTATGTTTTTGCAGGTGAATGAAAATAAAATGTTAAGATTTCGATTGTTCAAATTAAAAAGAAAGAATAATAATTAATTCCTATCGAAACTTTCAAATATTAACAAAAGAAATAAAAAATCTATTTTGACAACTATATCATAGATTTTCACTGGAGTACACTATTTATAATTTTACAAAGTGTCTTCGGTTGTTTATTCAATAGTTAAATATTTCATAAATCCTGTTCAAAAACAATTATTTAGAGAACGAGAACATCATTTTTAATTCTTTGATTAGAATTATCAATCATATTTTAATTTATTCCAACAATGAAATAATAAATGAAACTTTAGAAGTGAATAATTTTACCTTGATTGTCAGTATAATCGATGGATGATGCCATTAAATCTAAAATATATTGACAAATATAGAAACAGAACAAAGATTCTTTTTTCTCAACATATTTATTAAAATTTCTATTTTATTAGTCTTATCGTGATTGTATTTATTGATGAAATATTTGATTTCTTATATCTTTAGAAATAATTTTTTTTTTTTTTCTAACGATAGAGATGCCAATATTGTGACAGTACATGTCTCATTACAAATACTTCTGATGAGATTTATTCCATAACTCTATTAAAATAAACTCGTTAGATCTTTTACAAAAATTCAAACTGGAATTTATTTCGACTATAATATTCACATCAACACATAACCTAAACATCTCGATATTCGTCTTTACAAAATACATCGCCTACATACAAGTTTTATCGTTTTATATGGCTACATAAAATATGTTGTAGTAATATCTTATCACCTTATTACATTATAAACACTTACAATCCATAGTTTTTGACTGATGTAATGGATGACTGTCGTAGTGAAATTACAACTCTGTATCTTCATTCTTAGATATTCTATGTTATAACATCCCTTGTCAAATTGTTTATTTTAATTTTAACATTATTCGTTGATCTAATATTCCGTAAACGTCAAAGAATGAATATTTCAATACTAACTCTTATTTTCCTTCTCAGTATTATCAATTTAGATTGATTGTTTAGAAAAATTTTAATAATAGTCATATCTGAACGAAACAAATTACTAGTCTACTTTCGAGCACATATAACTGTTTTTTAGAATATCATACTATCACTTACGGTAGATATGTCGACTTGAATAATTTTCTACTAATTCATAATCGAATACTAATATTAATTCTGTAATGGAAACTATTGGAAAAGAGATAGATTCGATAGAGTATTGTTTTCGTTTGAAATAGTTCTTCTCTTTTTTTCTAATTCTGTTTCATACCCGTCAATAGTAGTTATGAAGAAACTGTGAAGAATAATCATCCTATAATGTTAGATTTAGCAAAATTCACGGATCAAAATCGTAGCACATATTCATGAATTTATACTTCATCATATTTTTTATAAAATAAATGATGTGAGCGTACTCTATTTTATTACTAAAGTCTTCTGAACCAATAACTTATCAAAATTAAACTGTTAAAATAGACCGAATTAAGAAAATTGCAATAATCAGTTATTGTGAATGTGTCACAATGTGTATTTTTCTATCGAATGATTCATGAACTGGTTATGCAAAAACACACGACTCTACAATTATTATGGCTTCCCTTACCTGTTTCTTTTTGTTTTTTCTTCTAACTACGCAAAAAAATTAAAAGTAAAAAATCCGAGAGAAAGAAACGTGACAAAAAAAGTAATTTATTGTAATGGAAGAAAGTAGAATACTTTATAATAGAACAATGTTGAAATGAGAAAGAAAAACATATTCTACTGATTAAACGTGTTTTATGATATGCAAACAGTTTCATATAGTTACGAATTGTGGGGACTGCAGATGAACATTAAAAATGATATTCACATACATAAAATTACTAACAGGGAGTATCAAACGATTAATATATAGATAAATTTTTTTCTTCTATAACAAACAGAATTATTTATGGATATCAATTTTAAATTCATAATATCTTTTTTATCTATAAACTTTATCATTTTTGTTTATCAACATTAGTAGAACTTAAAAATATCGTTGTTTCAAAAACTAAATATCTCACATCATCGAAAACTTCTATATTCATTAGAATATTTAGTGAATAGAAACAAGGACTCAATAGCAAATGATAAGAAATCTACATGCAACAGATCTATATAGTTATTAGAATTAACCAAAACAAAACATTATACGTACGCCAAAAGATATATTTGTAGAAAATAACATAAATCATTACCAAATATGCATTTGACAAAATATTTTTCATTGATTCATATTAACGAATTACCTGAATAATATTGATGGTAAAAACGTGGATGATAATGTGGTGAAAGCAATTAGATCGAGAATAAAAACGTCAGAAAGTCAAGATGTTGCGAAACAGATTGTCTGAAGTAGAACTGTCAAAAAGTAAACGTTTCTATAGTATAAAATCGTACAATTGTCATATAGATATAGACCGATTCAAAAAAAAATATCTTGAGGATGTGAATGTGAGATGATAATAATACTCTCTACCAAACCACATTCACACTTATTATTAGTTTTCTACTATCTGAGTATAATATGTAAAGTCCAGTTCAAGATGATATATGTCTTGTGTTTTTACAGAGAAATAAACGAACTAGAATAACAATATTAGCTTTATAGAGTAACACTCTTTTCAAAACATTTAAACAAAATAATATCATTAGGCATTTATTTATATATGATTGAGTTTTTATTCTATTGTGTTACTTTCAAAGGCAAGCTAAATAACTAATATGACAATATGTTATAAAAGATAGAACAATTAGTGATATTGATATTCTCTTATACTCACATCATCTAATAGTATCATAAATGTTATTTAATTCATGAAACTATCAGTCAAAACAAAATCTAAGAGAAATATTTATTAGATAATAATGTAATAAATAGTCAATAACTAATTCTTATGTAACATACGGATTTCTTTTACTATTTTTATAAGAAAATGTTGCTCTGGCAGACTAGTGTTACCACCAACCCGCACGTTTTCGTCATCGCAACATGTATTTTTTTCTAAGGTTTTTTACCTCTTGGTAAGTTTGTAATAAGCAACTTTTCTTGACAGTCTATAGTGCACGACATCTACTATATCTTTACACATTCTACTTTCTTTTTAGACATAGTACATCATCGATTATCAAGAGATTTGAAAATGAAAAATTACATGGGTGAAGAGGTAAGAAAAAAAATAAATAGTACAATTGTTTGGTATTGTACTACTATTATCACAAAAACTTGATTAGTTTAACACTTAAAACAAAACATTCCAAATCTAATCTTTGTCTAACAAATATTAAAACTATGCTATCTAATAATGAATGATTATCTACTTCACAATATATTTACTAATACAACATTTCTTACTATTGCACAGTTTTACTTATTATATGGAATATCAAATATCTTTTTTTTATGTGATGGAGAAAAACAAAAAGGTTTTTTTTCGCATAGAGGAAGGTCGTAAATACTCTTGAAAATGAGTGTTTTTATGATAGTAGAGAGCAAGATATAGGATTTATTTTAATTTATCACATATAAAAAAATATAGGAAGTATATATATCTATTTATTCAAAGATGACAAAAATATACAATCGTAGTTGGATTAGTTTATTGGTACTTGTTTGTCAAACTACTAGTCTTGTTCTTCTGCTACGTTGTTCAAGAACAGTGAACTCTGAAAAATATTTACCAGCAACCGCTATTGTGACTGCAGAAGTTCTTAAAGGAATTGTCTGTATTTTTCTTGTCTGGTTAGAGAATGATCGTTCAATTAATCGAGTTATACGAATAATTAACGAAGAAATTTATAATAAACCTTATGATACTATGAAATTAGCTATACCAAGTGGATTATATGCTATTCAAAATAATCTTTTATTTATTGCATTATCTTATTTAAATGCAGCAACATTTCAAGTAACTTATCAATTAAAAATTTTAACAACAGCTTTATTTTGTGTATTTATTCTAAAAAAAAGAATAGAAAAACATCAATGGTTTTCTTTATTTATGCTTGCTATTGGGGTTGCACTTGTTATATGGCCAACACCAGTTGAATCAAATAAACGTTTAACAGCACAAAATCAGGCAGCTTGGTTGCAACAAATGATGGGGTTTTGCACAGTATTAGTATCTACAGTAACGTCCGGTTTTGTCGGTGTCTATTTTGAAAAAATAGTTAACACTGACCAAACTTCTATTTGGGTTAGAAATATTCAATTAGGTATTTTTGGAACAATTTTTGGTTTGTTGATTGTATTCTGTTTTGATTATAAAGCCGTTATGGATAAAGGCTTTTTTCAAGGTTATACAACAATAGTATGGATTGTTATCTTTCTTCAAGCAACTGGAGGTTTAATAATTGGTACTGTTATCAAATATGCTGATACAAACATCAGAGTTTTTTCTAATTTTCTTTCAATTCTTTTTTTATCCGTTATATCCTACTTTGTTTTACATGATCTTACACCGACTTTATTTTTCTATATTGGAACAATGTGTGTTTTAACCGCAATATTTCTTTATGCATGGGGAAAACCTATAGTAACATTATGGACTACTAACCAAGTACGTATTTAATTTATTAATCAAATAAACAAATATAAGGATTCATGTCTTGGATCTCCACGTTTCTTCTGAGTTTTGTTTATACACTAATATAACTAAAATACCTTAAAATTTATTTTTCTCCTTTGATATATATATATATATATTCATGTGCAATCTATTTATTTCACATTCTCACTATTAAAAAGGAGACATCTTGACAATATAATTTTGTCGAAACAAAAAAATTATGAAATATGAATTAGAATCACTTGAGTTTATACCTTGTTAAAATATAGAATCCGTTCTTTTTTTTGCACTTTGATCTCAATATTTTTGTTTTCCAATAAATATAGAAAAAACCATCGATTTGATTTTTCATTTCATTACAACTTTTATATAAATTATTTAAAATATTGAAGATTGTAAAATAATGACTTCATTTCATTTGAGATCTTTTCTTCAATATGAATATTTATTTGTTATCTAAAAACATGATTTTAATCATTAACTAATGATCAAATCTCTGATCGGCAAGTTGCCAAGTCGATAATTCATACTAAAAATTAAAGTATAGATTTTATTCTATATAAATATTCTTCATATAAATATATATAATTTTAGTTACAAAAATGTAAATGCTACTGATCGATATCTAGCTATGTGTGTTTGGCAAACATTAACTAATGATGAAATACTTTGGTTTGGGTGGTAAAATAGATTCTGAAAATTATTCATTTTTCTTTTGTTTATCGAGATATCATAAAATAATATAAGCATGTGATTTTGATTATATTCTTTTCGCTGTCATATATTTTTATAAACGTTTTAGTTATCCTGAAGATTCTTCTATAGTTACAATACTCAGAAGAAAAGAACAGGGATTTTCATCGTGAGATCATAACGTCTATTGTTTTAGTCTTATCTAATTTTTTAAAAAAATTGTTAATTGAAAATTCTATGTGGAAAGCGAATATATTGTACTTCTAATTGTGATATATTAGAACGTCTTATTGAACTTCAACCATATGAAAATCAATTTTTACCAAATTCTTGACGTCAATTTTTTGCTAAACTTTTGATGTACCAGAAGATCGTAATTAATGTTTATCAATCCTTAATATTTTGTATTCTACCTTCATTCAAGAAACTCACCGAAAATCTTTCCCTCTTCATAAGACAAGTTAAAACTGCATATTCTCATGAAATTTGGGTGGGTGTGATTGTCCTTACTGTGTTCACTAAGCGCACTCTCCCACACCCACACCCTCAATTTTGCAGTAACTGCATGCGAGATAACTATTATGCTTCCTAATATTCCTGATCATGATGGTCGTGGCTTCTATGGATTGGCTTCTAGAGCCAAACGAACAGTTACTTTTATGTTATTTTCAAGCTAAAAATTAAAGCATGAATGTGAAAGAACCAGATGTTGTATATCCCCATTGCGTTAAATATATACAGATAATCTTGAAAAGATAACAAATTTTCGGGGAATAAAGAATCGATAATAAGACATAATAAATGGAATGAGGAGCATAGTCATTCAGTCATTTGAAAGTTTTACTTTGCGATTGTATAATGCAGCCAGTGCTTGTCTTATATATTAATTTCATGATACTTTGCCTCTCGACTGAGAGAAGTCGAGCAGTAACGTTGAATTCTCGTAAGTCAGAACCTTTTTTTTATTCGAAGATATTAGAGCTTTCAACAAACAATATGGTTAATTTTAGTTCCTTCTGTATGTCCAGTATCCCTTTGGTACGGTGGATATTCTGTCTTTGAAGTTGATGAAGGCTCCAAAGACTCCCAAGTTGGAGACATCATCGATTTTGTCATCGACAGTCAAATGAATTTTCATCTAGTGGACTCTGAAAAATCTCGCTTGCTAAAATGGACTTATCGCAACAGCTATTCATCCCTCAAGGTTCTTTTGGATAAAAGTGGTACATCTGATAGCGGCTCGTATGGTTTGAAAAATCCTCAAGGTTTGTTTGTGGATAAAGAGGATAACTTATTCATCTGCGATCGTGGAAATCATCGTATTCTAAAACGAACACCTACTGGATATGTAACAACTGTTGGGCAGGATATCTACTGTGAACATATTTTCGTTGATGACAACACTGGTGATATCTACGTAAACAGTTTATATGATGATGCAATATTTAGGTTTTCTGCCGGTTCTCTCGATGGGGCTCGCGTTGCGGGTGATGAACATCGAGGCAATTCATCGAGCCAATTGTACCAGCCAGCTGGTATATTTGTTGACAGATATGGTAGTCTATTTATTTGTGATTATGGAAATCGGCGAGTACAAAAATGGACTAAAGGTGCGACAGAGGGTACCACCATAGTAAGCGCTGATCATCATGTTTTGAACAAAGATTTCAAGCCGAAGTCCGTATTCGTCGATTATTTTGGCTAGAGCCCATCGGGTCCACGTTTTTTTGGACCCGGACCCGGACCCGGACCCGCCCAATAAATATTTTTTGGACCCGGACCCGACCCGGACCCGTTCAAAAAAATTTCGGTAGACCCGGACCCGGACCCGATGCCCGGTCCGGGTCCGGGTTGGACCCGATTTTGACGAGCACTAGTCTGAACTCGAGCTGTACCCTTAAAAAATTTTTTAGTCTTAACTATCCAAAAACCAAAACTAAGTAGCAAAAAAAAGGGTCTTTGATTTAGTTTTCTGAAAACCTATTAACCAGTTTTCAAATCCAAAATGGCATTCTCGTGTTCACCGAGCAGTATAAAAATATCATGTCGATAATATATTTCTTTTTATCCGGACCCGGTCATAAAAAGCTTCGAGACCCGGACCCGGACCCGGACCCGGTAAAAACAAAATTTTAAGAACCGGACCCGACCCGGACCCGCCCGGGTCCGGGTCTGGGTCCGGGTCCGGGTCGGACCCGATGGGCTCTAATTTTGGCACAGTTTTTGTGTATGATTCGGGAAATTTTTATCACAGAAGGTTTGTTCCACACAATGGATCATACGAATTGATATACAATTCTCAAATGTATCCATACGGTCTTTGTGGAAGTAAATTCGATTCAAACGGGAACATGTATCGTTTAGAAGGAAAAGCTTACGGTCAAGTGTGGCGTCATAAAATTGCAGAATATATTATCGATAACAGCGTTTGCCATGGTTTGTCTTCAGTACTAGAGAATCTAACTTTTTTTAAATTAAAAATCTTTCTCTTTAGAAAATGAATTCGCAGTTCTACCAAGTCCAGTAATTGGTTAATGGAAACATGTTTAACAGCTTCCCATGTCGCTCTTTTTTTCATAAAACCGTCGGTAACCGTCGGTCGTGCTAAGAACCAGCGGTGACCGATGGTTGAAGCTAGGACCGACGGTTAACCGCGGTTAGCGATCGGTTTTGACTAGCGGATTTTAACGATGAAACGATAAACAAAAACAAACAAACTATATGTAGTGATATAAAAAAAATTAGAAATAATCATCAATATGATTAGAATTCTCTTGTTCTATTTGTTTTATCAAGATTTAGAGAAACAAAACTCATATTTTAAAGCTATACTAAGATGTCGCTTTTTTCTTTCTCATTGGATTGATTGAAATTGTTAAAGACTTGTTCATTAGATAAAGGACATAATGAATGAATCGATTGTTGAAAATAGTTTTTTACGTTTATAATATCTATGTATATGATTTTCACTTTTGTTTGTTAATTTATCTAGAAATTTCTCGAACAGTTAACTTCATTTTTAGATATCAATATTCTCTCCATGGATAAAAAAAATCCTTTTGTTCTCGTCGAATTATCAAAGAAAAAAGTAAATATCAATTTTATCAATATTTTTCGTTTTAAATAACAAATTTGTATTTTCAAGATCAATGTCGCATTAAATGGTGATCAATTTGGTGATGAAAATATAATCGTTGACGATTCACCATTTAAATCTACATTAGTGAGTTATATTTAGCAGGTTCTGCTTATGAACTTTTTGCTGTTGTTTTTTTTTAGATTTATGTCAATTCAGAAGGCGTATCTGTAGATCTACTTCAGTTATATGGTGCTCAAACTCATATAGGTCATTATGTTGCACTTGTAATGGATAAGTTATTTACGTTCGAAGAAATAACGACCATTACTAAAGATGAATTGGTAAAGGATGAACGATACTTAATTATTAAAGGTAAAACAAAAATCAGTTTTTATCATAGTCACTTCTTAAATATGGTTCTATTTAGAAGCAGTTCGATCAAGATTCAAGCTGAATCATGAAATGTTACGGTCTGAATGGACAACCTTGCATGAATGCATTCTTCAAAAGAGACGCAATGAATTGAAGGAAAAAAAAGTAGTACTGGTAATGTAACAGTGCAACCTGCACCACAAGTAGCACTACACGACGATTTTGATGAATTTATTGGTTCATTTGCAAATTAAAAAGCTTCTTGTTAAATACCTTTTTTACTTCTATTTTCTTGTTTTAAGTATTTTTACTTTATTAAAAACATTTATTTCTTACATATTACATGATTATTGTTATAATATGTAATACTTCTTTATTAAATGTTTTTATCATACAGTCGTAATTAGAATAGTAGAATATGTACTTGATTAATGTTATTTTATGTTGTAACTCGTGTTTTTGTAGACGCATTCTTCCTGTGTGAAAACATAATGTACGCGTCTTTTTTGTTTGTCTCATTACAAGTTGATTTTGTTGAACATGTGTGATGTTAAATAATGATAAGTGATTTTTTATACTTCAATGATTTAAAATGCTCTTTTATTGTTGTGCTAGAAATTGATTTTGATGAGATTTAAATAAAGTCTAACTGAAAACTAGATGTGAATTGAAACTTTTACTGTAAACTACATTCGATCCTAACACATCAGTAAGAGCATAAAGAAAATCGACAGTGGAATGCAGTTAACGGCGGTTAACCGCGGTTAACTGCGATAACCGGAACGGTCAAATGGGCGTTCAAGCGGACGGTAAACTGCGGTTAACTGACGGTTTTAAAGCGGTTTGTATGACATGGGTTAAGATCGATGTAAATGCAGAAAATATTTGTTTTTCATATCTATCTTTCGGGAAATAAACATGTAATTCATCACGATAATACTTATGGTAGTCCAAAGGTAGTAGCAGTGCTACCCTAGTACCGTTTAATACACTTAAAGGAAATTTCTTTGTATACAGTCGGATCGAGTAAAAAAGGCTCTATCTTTCTATGTTATTTGACTAAACTTAAATTAATATCATGATAAAAGAATTTAGATAATATCTGCTTCATCCGCCTGCGTGCCGATTATACTAACGCTCATTTCAAAAAAGGCGGATGATAATTTTTGAATAACTTTTGATAGAAAAAAGATAGAGAGCCAACGTTTTCACCGTTGGGTAGAAGAGATCAAGACGTATTGAATCGTATATCACAGGTCTTTCTTTGTCTATTTTTTATAAGATTTTTAACTGATCTTTTTAAGACCAAACCTATTCTGTAAGTTGTTTACAGTGAGTTTTTGATAATCTTGAAGGTGTGGGTGTGTGAAGCAAACATAATGTTAACGTTGCATCTCGGCGAAGAGAATCATCAAATGGTCTTCTGTTTCTAAAAAACACTTTTTAGAAATGTTACCCGTTGTAGAACAGGACTATGAGTTAATCGCGAAGTGGATTGCTGGAGGTACTTCTTTTGGCGTCGGCCGGGGTGTTAGAGTGAGGGATGTGTGTTGTGAGTTTATAAGATTAGAATAAATTCAAGCAATCATACGACGCGTTTCGACTTTTATTGTTCGATATGGATCTAAAATATACAATGAAATTATGTTTGGCATCGTTTGTTATTCACGGCAGATATTTCTTCACTGTAAAAAAGAGTGGGAAATAATCTACCCCACAAAAACGTTTATTAGTATCACATACCATTCGTCAGATTCTCATAAAGCCCTTTTTAAGTATATTGCACTCTCATATACTCTTTTAGGGTATATGATAATTCCACAAACGCTTTAAGGGGATCCCCCTTTTCCGGGCCAAAATTTTTTTTTTTAGATTTGTTTTAATTTAGTGTACACGTGTATCAAGGTCCACTCTAGGTGTGGTATAAAAATCAGACCTCCCCAAAGTCCGAAAGTCCCTGAAAAACCAGGTTTTTTTGGAGACCTACGAAAAAACGTTTTTTTTTTTTTTTTGTTTTAATAAAAGTTATATTGTTTTGTGCTATATTTCTACTATCAGAATCAGAACCAGCCATGGTCGATAGGTCTCTGAAAAATCAGGGGTTTTCGCAAAATATGTGACAAAAAACAGTTTTTGTTTAATTTTTATGCTTTTATTACTAATGATGTTTCATCAGAACGTTTGATTCCTTTTTCTAATCAATTTATAAATAATAATTAATTAAATCTAACATCAGATTCACGTTCTCCGTTCTAATCTGAGTTGTTTCAATTTTCGTGAAAAAACGTTAGTTAAGCATAACTAATTAATTAATTAATTAAATCTGTCAACAGATTCGGATTCTTCAGCTTCCAGTACATCTTTTTGCATTTTTGTAAAAACTTGCTTAATTACTTAACGACTAGTTAGTGTCTAATTAATAAATTAGTTAATTAAAATTGACTTCAGATTTGGATTCTCCATGCCAAACTACCCTTTGCACCTGGAAATTAGCAAAAACCTAGCGTTTAAGTGGAAAAAAGTAAATTTTCTAAAACTTTTTTTTATTTTGCGTTTTTCTCGAAACTAGGTTTTTGGGGTGCCAAAAAAAAAGTTTTACTCCCCTTATCTCAGCCATTTTAAGTCCGGTCGGGCTGCAAATTTTTTTGGGGGACTTCAACCGATTTGGATTGGCGCTTTTTTTCTTTTTGTTGATAGCTCTTACCAAAAACATTTGGCAGGATTTACAAAATTTTCAAGATGCAAAAACGCTAGAGATTTTTCGAGGTCTTCAGTATTTTGAGTCTCCTGGCTAAAGTTTTAGGAATTTTTCAAAGAAAAAAAAAAGCGTCAACCCGATTTAAGTCTGCTGCCCACAGTAAAAATTTCAGCTCAAAATATTGAAATCTGTGGACTTGCCGGGGGGAAAACTTTAGGTGATTTTCGGACTTTGGGGTCTCCAAAAGTCCATGAAGGGAGGGGGGTCTGACAAAAGTTTGTCCGCTACAACTTTTGTTCCACCACTCGAGACCTATCCACCCTGAAAATTTCAAGAAGTTTCGCTTTGCCGTTTCGGAGAAACCCGGGAAAGGGAGGGGTCTCCTTAAGAAAAACAAGTTCATAATAAAGAAATGTGAAAATACAAGTAGAAAAATAATCTAATACTTATTAAAGAAAGCCTTTTGAATTTAATTTAAATAAATGAATAAATGTAGAATATGTAATGAAAATCTTATATTTTTAACAATACTGAAAATTTTCGATCATGCTCAACCAGAAACACAACCAAAAAGTACAAAAATCATAATGTTACAACTACAGTTATATATCTACATGAATATTAATGACAAACAATGTTGATTATCACTAATAATAAATTAATCGATCTTAAATCATAATTTATTCCATTTACCTATATACTTACGAACAACACATGTGAAAAATACTACTTAATAATAATAATGTATGAGAATACAAAGAACACCCATCCACTCCCACACCCTCAAAATTTTTCGGTGAAAGTGAAATCTACCGTCGTTTATATACTATATGGAGAGAATAAAAAGAAAAAAATACCATGTGTAAAGACAACGTAAACGTCGTGCTCCCCACACGAAGGACATTTAATATACAAAAAAAATGGCAAACAAGAGCGCACCCATACTTAAAAACACAAAAATTAGTCCAGATGCTGAAGACGGCGATGGTGATGAAGAAATTATTATTCCTTCGGTTCCATCAAGATTTGCTATGCTAATTTCTGATGAAGAAAATGAAGATGCAGATACTGATAATGACGAAGATACAACAACAACAATATCAAGTTCTTCAAAAAAGAAATCAAATAAAAAGAAAGTCCAGTCATCAAAAACCAAAAAAGAAGATGATGAAATTGATTTATTATTAGCTGCTATTGAATCAACAAGTGTTTCAACAAAAAAAAGTGATAATAAAACAAATGATGATGAAGGACAAGATCTAGAAGATATTTTAAAAGAAATTAACGAGAAATTTGATGAAAAAGAAGCCAAAAAAGACAAGAAAAAGAAAGCTAAAGGTGGTGTTGACGCTAAAACTTTAAGTTTAATGAAAGAATTTCAAAAGAAACGAGAAGAAGCCATATTAAAAGCTGTACAAGATGAAGAAGAAGAAATGCGTTTAGAAGAAGCATTTCAAAAACAACGTGAAGAAAAAGAACGCGCAGAAAAAGAAAAGCGTGATAAAAAGAAACAAAAAGAAAAAGAACGTATACAAACGAAAAAAAAAGAAGGTACTTATTTAACTAAAGAACAACGAGAAAAACTTGAACGTGCACGTATTCAACTTCAAGCAGCAGGCATTCAAGTACCAGAACGAAATACAGTAGACAATGGAGAACGACCGGTTAAAAAACGTATTCTATATGACGACCGAAGAAAAAAAACACCAGGAAATGATACTGAAACAGAGAAACAATTAGGTGCTAAAGAAGAAAGTTTGAAAAATAATGGGGAACAAGAATCTCAATCGTCCGGTGACGAATCTTCTTCAGAAGAAAGTGATCAATCAGATTCATCAAGTGAAGACGATGATAAAAATCAACTAACACCTCATGAACGTGTACGAAATCGTTTACAAAGACGACATGAAAATTGTGAAAGTCGTCGTTCTTTAGAAGTTCTTCGAGCACCTGTTATCTGTGTTTTGGGTCATGTTGATACTGGTAAAACAAAAATTCTGGATAATTTACGTCGAACACATGTACAAGATGGTGAAGCCGGTGGTATCACACAACAAATCGGTGCAACAAATGTTCCACTAGAAACGATTCGTGAAAGAACAAAAATGTGTAGAAAATTAATATCCCATGAAGGTGAATTTATTATTCCAGGTCTTTTAATTATTGATACCCCAGGTCATGAATCGTTCAGAAATTTACGAACACGTGGTTCATCTCTTTGTGATTTAGCTATTCTTGTTGTTGATTTAATGCATGGCTTAGAACCACAAACACTTGAATCAATTAAATTATTAACTGAAGGAGAAACACCATTTATTATAGCTTTAAATAAGATCGATCGATTATATGAATGGAAAGGTGATAATGAAAAAAATGTGGAACTTGTTATACAAGAACAAGGACCAAATATACAAAATGAATTTGATAAACGTTGTAATGATGTTATTGTTCAATTTGCTGAACAAGGTCTTAATGTTGCACTTTATTATAAGAATCCTGATCCAAATGAATACTATTCTATGGTACCAACATCCGCACATACTGGCGATGGAATGGGTTCATTAATTGCAATGATTATTGAAAAATGTCAAACAACATTAGCAAAATGTTTATCATATACTGATGAATTACAAGTAACTGTTATGGAAGTTAAAACAATTGGTGGTCTTGGTACAACAATTGATGTTATTCTTGCTAATGGACATTTACACGTTGGTGATACAATTATTGTTGCTGGTCAAGAAGGACCAATTGTAACGCAAGTTCGTGGCCTTCTTATGCCAGAATCAAATAGAGAATCACGTGTTCGCAATCAATATCAAAATTATAAAACAATCAAAGCTGCTCGTGGTATAAAGATTGCTGCTAAAAATTTAGAAAAATCTATGGCTGGTTTACCATTATTTGTTGGTCGAAAAGAAGATGAAGTTGATTATTTTAAAAATGAAATTCAAAATATTCTTAAAACAGCTCTTAGTTCAATCAAACTACAAGAAACTGGTGTTTATGTTCAAGCATCAACATTAGGTTCATTAGAAGCCTTACTTGAATTCTTAGAAACATCAAATATTCCATATGCTGGAATTAATATTGGAACTGTTCATCGAAAAGATATTGTTCGTGCATCAGCTCAACTTGACAGAAAACCACAATGGGCAGTTGTCTTAGCATTTGATGTGAGAATTGAAAGAGACGCTCAAGACTATGCAGATAGTGTTGGTGTTAAAATCTTCCAAGCTGATATCATGTATCATTTATTTGATATGTTTTTGATACATCGTGAACGTTTTAAAAAAGAAGATGAAGAAAAATCTCGACATCTAGCCGTATTTCCATGTAAATTAAGAGTGTTACCTGAATTTATATTTAATAAACGTGGTAAAATTATATGTGGTGTTATTGTTGAAGATGGTTTTGTTAAATTAGGTACACCAATATGTGTTCCATCAAAAGAATTTATTGAACTTGGTCGAGTTGTTAGTATTGAATTAAATCATAAACCATTGGATATAGCAAGAAAAAATTCTGAAGTTTCCATCACAATTGAACCAGTTGGTAATGAAGCACCAAAAATATTTGGACGAGATTTTGATGAAACTGATCTATTGATAAGCAAAATTTCTCAAGAATCTTTTGATGTTGTTAAAGATCATTTTCGTGGTGATATGCAAAAATCTGATTGGCAATTAATGATTGAATTAAAAGAGATATTTAACATTTTTTAAAAATAAAAGAAGGCATTGTCTTTTTATTCATTTATATATCATGATAAAATTGTTCTTCATATTGTTTCAAAAGAATATAGAGAACGAATTTATTAATATAAAATAAGAACCATACGATCAAACACATGTTGCGAAAGAGGAGAACCACTTTAAGCCAAAATGTGTAGTATTACTTTGTCTTATCAAACAGGAAAGATTTTCGATGACTTCCTTTAATGAATATAGAATACGAAGTAGGTGTTGATGTTAGCCTTTTATTTCTATTCTAACCTCATCCACACCCACACCCACACCCTTCTCTCTTCTCTTTTGTTGATTGAACAATGTTAGTGAAAGAAAATGAATATCTCATCATAATACTTTATTGTATTTTGTACAAAAACATTTAGTATATTAATTTATTATGTAAACACTGGTTTTCTTTCTTATAGAAGAACAAGAAAAAAAAGACGAATTGATGGATAAACATCGAATACAAAAGAAACGGAAAAAAAAATAAAAAATAAAAGAAGCTTTTGTTTTAAAACAGCAAAAAAATAAAATAAAATAGGTTTGTACAAATATGTAACCGGGACGTATGTGTATGTGTGTGCATCGAAATAAGTTTGATTTCTACATTTTTTTAACCTACAGTCGGAGTTGAACGAGCTACATGTCCAATTAAATAAATATTATCATAGAGATGGCCAGCTAATTCATCACTTAATGTTCCATTAATTATGGCACGACGTGTATTACGTATGAATTCACGTTTAGACATTTTATTTTTAACGTGTGGTGATGTAAGATCGATAGAAAGAAGAATTAATGAAAAACATAGGACATAAATAGTTTCTAAAAATGAAAAACAAGAAATAGAATATTTATTTAAAGAAAAATTCTAACGAACCAGTTGATAAACCAAGATCTTTATTACATTCGTGAAAACGTTTGGAGAAATTTTCAATTAAAATTGATAAATATTCATTACGATCTTCTGGTGCATCAAGTTTAGCAAAAAATTGTCGTAGAGCATTTGGTAAAAATTGATTTTCATATGATTGAAGTTCAATAAGACGTTCTAATATGTCACGACTAGAAATACAAATGCATAAAGAAATATTTCGAGACAGATGTTTGTTTTTTTTTGACATTTTCGCTCGCAGGGCACTATTTTAAAATAATAGAAATACGTCACAATTAAAATCACATGCTTTAGATTATTTTATGATATCTCGATAACAGAAAAAAAGAACAATAAATGTCACAATAGAAAGAAAATGAATTATGTGTTATTAGAGAATATAATTTTAAAGTCTTATGTAACTAAATGATCGACCTACCGTGTTTGTAGTAATTTACGTTTTTCACTTGCTCGTAATTTTCTTGTATTATGTATAAAATTACATATTTCTTCGCATGTATCATCGAGCAATCTATTTTCAATAAAATATTGAAGACCCTATATACAAAAAAAAGGTTTTATAATAATCAAAAACGAATTTTTCAGTACTTGTCCAGCATTAAATCGTAATGTTCCTTCATCAAGTTGTAAATAGATTCTACGAAATGAAATACCTTCACTATGAGCTCGCTTATAGACGGATGTATAAGCCCAATTAGATTTACATAACCTTGAAAGATATAAAAATGAATAATTTTGAAAAATCTATTTTCTTACCCAAGCCAAAGTATTTCATCATTAGCTAATGATTGCCAAACACATGCAGCAAGACATAAATCAGTAGCATTTAAATTCTTAAGAATTGCCAAAGCTAATTCAGGTGGTAATTGTGATATATCGGACATTTTTGTGACTAAAATTATATAAATATATGAAGAGTTTTTGTCTCGAATAAAATCTATACTTTGATTTTTAGTATGAAATGTCGGCTCGGCATCTTGTCGATCGAAAATTTGACCCATCACTAATGATTAAAATCAATTTTTAATCGAACGAATATGTAGCCGAGCCGACTTGCAGTGGTGACGTGGACAGAAGATGTCGACGTGGAAAGGTAGGTAATATATGTGTCAGATTATATTATATATATATATTTTTTCTTTATTTGTTGAGTAAGAATGAAAGAAGGAAAGCAAAAAAAATTGCAGTGTTGAACAACTTTTTTTTCTATCATCAATCATTGGTTAAAATAATAACCAATGAAAATACATTCAACTAATAAAATATAATAATTTAGAAAATTATTTCGATTTTCAATTCATATTTATTTATTAAATATTATTAAAATAAATAAAAACTATTCAGTGATATATTAAGTTACTAAGTAACCCCGCTTGTAAGATAAATATCAATGGCGTTTACTTTTAGCAACGTTATTTAGAAACAAATTTCTATTTATTCAATAACGTATCCTAAGGTAATATCTTGTTTATGGTTATAGTTAATTAAGAAATTAGTTTTTTTCGTCGAATAATGAATATTCTATATGTTAAAATTCTTTTTAGGTCATTGTATCAATTTATATTTCGATAAAAATAAACAATGTCGATAATTCCACCTTCTGGTTCGCTGGTTCGTTTTGATAATCCAACATTGATAACAGCACAAAATGATAAAGAACGTAAAGGAATGGGTACTAGTAAACAAACAACAGGATTAGATCAACAAATGATGGATGTTACTGGTGCGGGTGGTTCTTCGAATTCACCACGATTAGGTAAAAAACAAGCAACAATGAAAGATTTATCATTAGAAGAAATACTTGATAAAATTCTTCCACCGAAGTATAAGAATTTAATTCATTTTTTTTTAAAAATATTATTTTATTTTTTTATTAATTATAGAATTACAAAAGATCCAAATAATCCTGATTTACTCTATTGTCAACGTATATCATCAACACCATCAACACGTCTTGATGTTATTAATTTACAAGAACAATTAGATATGCGTTTACAACAACGACAAGCTCGTGAAACTGGGATATGTCCAGTACGACGTGAACTTTTTTCACAATGTTTTGGTAAACTAAATATTTTTGCTCGATTTTTCATTTTTGTTTAATTATATTTTCTATAGATGAACTTATTCGTCAAGTTGCCATTAATTGTGCTGAACGTGGTTTACTTCTTCTTCGTGTACGTGATGAATTACAAATGACATTACGTGCATATCAAACACTTTATGAAAGTAGTGTAGCATTTGGTATGCGTAAAGCATTAATGGCTGAACAAGGCAAATCAGAATTAGAACGAAAAGTCTGTAATCGAAAATTTTCTTTTTCTAATTATTATTATTATTATTTGAAGTTAGTACAACTTGAAGAAGATAAACGTGATCTTGAACGACAATTAAAAGAAACAAAAGCAAATGCTGAAGCAGCTGAAAAGAAATTAAATGAACAACGACAAGTTGAAGAAAGAAAACATATGGAAGAAATTAATTTTTTGAAAAAAACAAATCAACAACTTAAGGTTTAATTTTGATTATGACTTGGTGTTTTCTATTTAAATTTTGTTTTTCTTTAGGCACAATTGGAAGGATTAATTGCACCGAAAAAATAAATTCAATGATAATTCAATTTTACTGTATACATTCATTAATGATAACATTTAATTTTGTGCGGTTATATTTTTCTCTCTTTAATTCAAATAAAATCAATCGTAAATAAGTTTTTTATCGGATAAGATATGACTTATTTATAATAAAAATTAGATTATTCATTTTCTTGATTTATTTCAATATGAAATACAAAAACAAACGACTTGTTATGTCATGATACATTGATTATTAGAATATCAATTTTGCTAACATTTATTTATTTTCAGTTAAATTCTTTAGACTACTTAAAAGAGTTTGATAAATACCAGTTGTAAGATATTGAAGTGATACGATTTCGTATGTGCTGATTGTTATTTCTGGCATTCATGTTCAGTTACTCTGAGAAGGTCATTCCTACAAATCTGTTTTGACAGGACTTATTGAATTTGTTTATATTCACGCAAAATTCGTCGGAAATCAGAAACCAATATCGATCAAAACTATAGATTGTTCATCGCAAAATTGCGAACTCGTGTTTTGGAACTAAATTTTACCGACTTTCATAGAATCCCAGCAGTTAGTACTTCTCAGTTCATGCTTTTATAACAAAATATGACAAAAGATTATGTTCTATTGACATTTGCCATTATGTAACTATAAGAGCACTTAAATATCAAGAAACTTAACACAAAAATTGTAAAATAGAAACTCTATGTTTTAGCTATTTCATCTCTCTGTATGTAGTAGTAGTAGCATTCTTTTTGCAGATTGACACATATTTCAGTTGTATTAAATAATTACTTCAGATAAAAATAGATCAAATTGATCAATTGTAAAAAACCAACCATACTATAGTTAGATATTGTTCAACATTCGTTGTTGTTAGTTTTTCATGCTAGTACATGAAATAGGACAAAATAGAATAGCAGCTGTTATTATCAAAAGCTTCGAGAATAGTATGAGATTTGACAGTGTATATATTTGCCGAACTGAAATACTAGACTCTTTATCGAAAATACTGAGTGTTTATTTGATACAAAAAATGCATTGGCTTTATGCCGGTTAAGTCAAGATTTAGAGTCACACAATGTTATTTGCTGACGTTAATAGTAAGCAAATCCTTCTTTATCTACATTCATTCTCAAGACAATCAAAGCATTTTGTCATTTTTTAAGTCATATGTATAGTTTTGCATCAACACCAGCACATCGATTGAATAAAGCAGAGATTAAAATGTCTATTGTTAGATCAGTTTGTCGTCGGCGTAACTCGGACTGATCGATATCGTAATAGTTTGACGATGCCTGTCGCAACAAACTTACAGATGATTACTAAACCACCATAGTAAGAAATCAGTACTGTAATTCCTTCGAGCAGATTACTTTGTTTGATATAAGAACGAACACATGATGAAGGTGCACACTGGTGAAAGTAATTTTCATAGGATACATCATCCACAAGTTCCTCTATCATTAGTTCATCGAAAATGGAATCAAAAGTTGAATTATCAGGGAAACGACTTGGATTAACAGAGCTATTGAATACATGAGAAATATTAGCTGCTTCCAAACATTTCAGATCGAAGTAACAGTCGGGTGTCCATAGTGAGATAGCTTCGAATGCATAACAACCCATCTTTAATCCAAAATAAAACCAGGTGCACCTCGAATTAAATCCACAATCACATCCATTCTCATTATTTGGAACAGTGTGCGCAGTATGTAAATGAACTTCATTTTGCGGATCAGCGAACACCCAACTGCTACCATAGCTGACCATCAACTTGTTTGTAGTTATTAGCATACGAGTCAATGCGAACGTATTAACTAATAATCTAGATTTTGTCGGAATGAAGTCTTTTTTGATCTCTTGAATAGTTTGGTTTAATGAAGATGATGATAACAGTTCAGTATTGACTAGATGACTTGCTAATAATTGAGCGATTGAAGTTCTCGCTATATTCTTACACAGTCCGCAGAGCGACTCGATCGTTCGTATATATCCCAAGCCTGTGTACACATATATTGGACCAAGTAACGCGATCACAATTGGATTAACATTGCTGTGAGCGGCCAATGCTTGTGATTCCAAGTCTATCGAACAGAATAAGTGGAAACTAGCGTTTACGTCAAGAAAGGAATCATATTGGATGGATATTTCTGAGCAAAAACAACGCAGAGAGTCGGGATACTGTCTAAATAGATCTTTGTACACAGCTAGTGATGGTTTCTCGAGTATCTTCTCAATCAATTTAGGACGAAAAGCATGACGTATGTAGAGACCATACAGAATCACTGCAACTAGAATGATGTGTAATCGACGCGTCAACTTGTGTTCATCATTCCAGCCAAAAATCCGTTTTAGAAACTGTAAAGATAGTTTGAAAGAAAATCCGTTAATGTATTTTTCAATTGATCGAAGGCCAAGCCAGATGAGCAACTGAAAACCAATGGATAAGCCACCAAAAATACCAGTAATAATGGTCACAATCTTCAAGAGACCTTGACGACTACTATATTCGATGATGCATGTACTTGGAGCGCATTTGTTGTAGTAAGAAGTAAAATTGATATGCTCTGACCACTTATCAATCATTAATCCATCAAAAATCGATTCAATCGACTCATCAGCTTGACTAAGGCTTGAATTAAGTGCTGGAAAGGTCCACGATTCGTTGCGAGGCGCATGAAAAAATGTATGAAGCTCCTTCATACATGATTGATTATAGAAACATTCCAATGTCGATGAAAACAATGCTTCGACCAGATAGCAACCCAGAAAAAAATTAGGAATTGTATATTTTGGCGTAGAAATACCTCCAACACTCTCGTATATGTTCATGGGTTCGATACATGTACGATTCACACCACAATTACAATCATCATCATTATACATGCGGGGCTCAGTTATTAACTGTGTTTCTACTAGCTTATTGCGTTGATAATAAATATTCAAACGGTTCATCAATTTACTTTCCGATGTGGTAATTCGAATAAGTTCCATCCTGCGTTTAAGTTGTCTGATAGTAGAGTTTTTCCAAGCTTCAACAGAGCGGTTTATCTTAGTTTGAAATAATCCTTTACTGATTACTTGTGAGTTGATAATTTTTGTTTGCAAAAAGATTTCAAGCGCATCACCGGTCGTATTCTGTGCATGCTCACAGAGCATTGCCAATGTCTGAAACTGACTACTAGCATGTTTTCGATAGTCGAGTATTTTCTCAGTAGCACTACTCTCCGAATCACTGTACTTAATCCATTCTGGAGTAATCAAGTAACTCGAACATACTTTGTGGAGTTGAGGTTGAATAATTATGAAAGAGGAGTAGTTTACAGATATGGATGTACATTTACAGATCAGATTATTTTTATGTTCTTCTTCAAGATTAAGGTATTCGGATTCGGATGGATTAGTAATAATACGGCGATGAATTGATTTGTCCACTAAGTTATATCCAGCTAGGATTGTAACCGAAATGATGATCAAGAATATATACAATCGAGTAGCATAACGTTGATAGCGAAGTTGTCGATCATTACGTGGAAAATACTCAAATGTATTTAGTTCAACGATTACTTTTTTCAAAGCCGGTTTGAGTAGACGCAAGCGTTCACGAACTAGAAATTGAAATCATATAAATTAACAGAACAACCATAGCTGGGCAGCTCCGGCTCCATTTTTTTAAAAAGTTCAGCTCTTAGGAGCCGGCTCAGCTTCATAGTAGGATCTGTCCAATCCTGTCTCTATCAAATTCACCAAAAACCTGCATTAGCTCCGACTCCGGCTTCGTTATTAAAAAAGAGCGACTCCTAGGAGTCGGAGCTACTCAACTCTAGCGAGAGCATAATTATCATGAGAATAGAATTACTTACGAGTCAGTGTAGATGGTGGAGATTGTACGTTATTTAGTTTATTCATGATGAATCGAACAATAATCGGAAGCAGTAGTCGCAGTGCGGCTATTAAGCCGCTGAGTAAACCAATGAGTTGTGCCATCACATCAAGTAAACTATTTCTCAGTTTTTTTGGATAAGTGCAAGAAAGAGGTGCACAGTTATCGCGATACTTTTCGTAAGATACATTCATGAGCCAATCTTCTACCATCAGCTTGTCGACGATTGATTGCACGGTTGCATATGGACCGAAACGACTACGATTATTCCTTATCATCGCTGAGAAATTTTCTTTTGTTGAAAATATTGAAACAAGAGTGTTCACACATGTCTGATTGTAAAAACATTCAAGTGTCGATGCAAGAATCGAAGTCACTGGCAAACAGCCTGATGCTAACCCAGTCAGTTTTGTTTGATTGCCGGAATGATACTGTGTTGGTGCTCCGAATATGTCACTAAAGATAGCATTAGAAGTACATCGAGAATCCGAAGCACAACTACAAAATTCATTATTTCTGTCATTATATTCAGCAGGGTTAATTTCAGGGGGCCAAGCGCGGTCGTATGATATGATAAAGTTTGTTTGAAGACCAGATACAAGTCGGTTGCTAGTTATTACTCGAAGGATTAGTTCTAATTCAGTTGCAAATGCTCGAGATATAGTCTGCTGAAACTGAGTAATAGCTAAATCAATCTCTTCTTGAAAAACACTCCTTGACAAAAGCTCTGAACTGATAAACGTGCGTTTTTCAAATAACTCAATATTTTGTTGAAGATAAGATTTTGATTGATCACAAAAACCGGCTAATGCTTGGAATTGTGCGTTACCGAAAGTTCGAAAGTCATTTAGATTGAAATATGTCACGTTCGAGCCAGAGTAGATGGCTTTAATCCAACGATCAGACACAAAATCACTCTTGCATATTTGATGTAAAATCGGTTTTAATGAAATAAAATCACCATATAAGAGTGAAATACAAGAACAAGGACATTCTGTATCGGCAGGATAGCTATCCAATTCTACTTCAGGTGGATTAACTCGTTTCTCGGTTATCTCTTTCACATCTGCATGTATAAAAAGACCAAGATAAATGAGAAGACATGTGAGAAGAACTATATAGATACGAGTTACAAGGGTATTGAATCGACGTTGTTGTTCATCTTCATTTTGATCACTACCAACGGGTGGTTGAAAAAGATTGAGATGGAGAAAAAATATTTTCCCAGAAAATATTGTCTGCCGGCAAAAATCGATTATGGGCATGGTGAGCTTTGTGCGTTTATGATGAATGTAAAACGTAAGACAGAAAAAAAATCTGATGTGTTATTAGAATGTTATTTCTGTAGACAGATGCAGTAAAATAAAATCCTCTACATAAGAACAGTTTTTCTACGTCATAAAAATGCTTTTCCTACGCAAAATAATAATTTTTATTGTATCGCACTTTTATCAAAAGTAACTAAAAATGTTGATTGAAACAATTTGTTTCCGTATCCTGCATGGAAATCATGCACGGTTTTTAGCATGTTCTGTATTTATGCTAGATAATCACTCGCATCGGTTTTTATATATCAAAAAAAATGAGTCGTATAAAGAGAAGTAAATTTTTATTTGTCGATGATTTAGAGCGTTGCATTTGTTAGATTGATGAGATCGTTTGAACAAAGAAAACTATTGAGTAATTAATCCATCGTTTTATGTGTCAACCTAAAGAGAATAGGTACTGATTTGTAGTATATGTATGAGTATGAATGTTCGATGATCATAATATTCACGCTTTCATTTTGAATCATCAGTATGCTTGAAATAGAGTTTCATACGAACGATACGCAGATATTAGTATTACTTACGCTGATTGTTCATTTAACATCGGTGATAACAATCATATTTATATCCTACTCTTTTTTTTCTAGCACAATGTCAAGCAAGAATGAAACAACAAATGAAAATCATGAAGTATGTCATTGATCTTATTACACATAAAGAAATAGGACAATCCTATTTTTTTCTAACTCATTTTTAGAACTACGAAATGGTCGGGAATATAACCGAAGGACAGCCTTCTTCAATAACAACAGTGTATATAAATTATTTTTGTGCTAGACATGCCAATAATATTCTCAATTTTAGGAGCTCGCCAATTAGAAGAAAAGTGTGCTGCACGATCGTTACTGTAATCGTTGGGATCGTAGTTGGTGGTGCTCTAACAATGCTTGTTCTAAAATATTTCTGGGGAGTTAAAATGAATAGCAAAACAACAACAGTAATAACAGGTATAGTTGTTCTTGAGAATGAGTGTGGAACTGTACCACGGTATGGGTGTTCACTTCTGATTCACCCACACCCACACCCTCAAGATGGACTTAATAATCCTCAATTGTTGCACAGCCACTCGCTCTATCCACATGCTATCCCTCATTCTGATAGTAACTTAAATACCATTTATATCACGAAATGTCTCAGCGTCCACATTATCATATGTATAGCAAATATTCATGTTTTCTTTTTGACTGTGAGCCGTTGGGTCTTCAAATATATATAATACATTTACTAGTCTATGGTGCCTATACTTTTTTGGTTATAGGTCTTACGGGTCTTTAGATATATACCATATATATAAACTAGCACATGGTGTCTATTTTCTGGGCTGTGGAGCTTGCGAGTCTTTATACATATGACATCTATTTAAAAACTCGCAAGACTCTGGTGATCCGTAGTCCAAAACGATAGGCACCATATACTAGTATATATATAGTATATATGTAAGGGCCTGCAGACACACAGATCCAAATACCCGCACACCCACATACTCGCAGATCCACAGACACGCAGGATCAAAGACCCGTAGCTCGAGGGGTCCACGAAAAATTGAAGTTATCATGGTTTACTTTTATGTTAGGCAACTAAAGAATGGTCTAATCCTTTTAGTCCCTTTAATCCTTTAAGTTCCTTTAGGGTTTGAGTGTGAAACAATGTAAATAGCCACACCCACACCCTTCATGAATTCTATTAACGTTTTTTATTTTGCTTGTGTATTTTTCTATGGTGATAACTCTCTGACTGTCTTTAGATGAGAAAATTACACCCGTTACAAAAATGATTACATCAGCAACTACAACAATGGTCACATTAACAATTACAAAAAAAGTTCCATCAGCAATATCGAAACCACCAGAAAGAGGTGAGTATTATCTAAGTGCTTCATACTTTTGATTAAGTGATGATATGAATCTTACATGTAGCGAGCTGCAGGATCACGGGTTTTTGGATCCGCACTTAACTTAGACCAGAGAAAAAACAATTTATTATACCTGTGCCCGATCCAGATCCGGTTAGGCTCAGACCCGAACTCGGCCGGATCCACACCCAGATTCTTTTTACCAATGTATAGCATCCTGTGTGCAAGGTAGAGAGCTGCGGCTCCGCGGTTTCTTTGGACCCGTACTCGGTCCAGATCCGACAGAAAAATGTTTTGGTAGACTCGCAGCTCCCTATTTATCTATATAAAGGGGTCAATAGTAAGATTCTCAGAATAGGCGTGGTCCACTGAATGTTAAAGTTAAGACATACTCACACATATATATCCTAAACTTCTCGTGTATGATTTCATGTATAAATCAAACTTCTTCGACTTCGATGGGTGAGTGAATGTGATATGCACTCATACTTAGCCGATTTTAACACTATTTGAAATGATATGTACATATTACTAGACACAATTAATAAAAACAAACTTTGTTTGTAATAGAGCCATGTGAAATGGAACTTAAAACACCAATTAAATCCTCAACTGCCTCTAACATTTTGCCAGCGTTTGTATCGCTCACTGATATCAACAACGACAATAGACCAGATATAATTGTGGCGAATTATGATGCAGGCAACGTTGGTATTTTCTTCAACGCTCCAGGTAGTTATTTTCGTGAACAAATAACTTACTCAACTGGACCTTCATCAGGTCCAGAATATATATCAGTCGTTGATGTCAATGATGACAACAAACCAGATATTATTGTTGCAAACAATTTGGGAAATAGTGTTGGCGTTTTGCTCAATAAGGGTTCTGGCCAATTTCACGCCGTAAAACATTATAAAACTGGACCAAGCACATTTCCATCAGGAGTTGCAGTAGTTGATATTAATACCGATACAAAACCCGATATTATCGTGACAAACCAATTTTTGAACACTATTGGTGTTTTCCTAAACATTGGTGATGGTCAATTCTCGTTTTACAAGATCTACCAGGTTCCGCATGATTTCGCTGTGAGGTGTCCGCAAGTAGTGGATGTTAATGGCGATACTCATCCAGATATTATTGTTGCAAACTCTCGTGCCGCTAGTATTGGTATTTTCTATAATTCCGGCGATGGAACATTTACTAATTGGACAACATTTTCAACTGGTTTCGATTCACAACCAAACTCTGTATCTGTGATTGATGTCAACGGTGATAATAAACCTGATCTTATTGTGGGTAACATTGGAACGAGCAATGTTGGCGTTCTTCTCAATGCTGGCAATGGAAAATTTCTTAATCAAACAACATACCCAACTGGACTCAACTCACAACCACGATCGGTGTTTGTGGCTGATATAAACTGCGACAACAAACCTGATATTATCGTTGCCAACTCTATTATTATCGTTCCCAACTCTAATGACGGGAACATTGGTATCTTTCTCAACTCGGGCAATGGTACATTTCAGCCTCAAAAACCGTATCCAACAGGACTTTCAACAAACCCATGGTCTATATCAGTGGGTGACGTTAATGACGACAACAAACCAGACATTATTTTTTCAGATACTGGTCAACACAACATTGGTATCTTCATACGTTCTTGACATTCATTCGTATTGTTCTAACACTTGCCTCGAATTTTATTTCATGCTGTTGAATAGGCGCAAATGACAAAGCTTTCTCACAGTTTCTAATACTTTAGACAACTTTGATACGTTCTCTATCAATCCGAATCAAACCCTTCAGATGCGCATCATTATCTCATTCATTAAGAGTAGGAATATAAGAAACGATGTTAATTAATTCAGTACTATCTGATTAACTAGAGAGGCTATGAAAAAGTATCTAGTATCTGAAGGTTTCTACTATAGGAACTTGTTCGCTGTGAGAGACTATGGATGTGAGGGTGTAGAAGTGATATCATTCTTAGTTCTGTAATATATAGTTTGTTCTATATCGTCATTGATACTTCTAAGAGTACAACGACGTACAGTATTGCATTAGTCAATATACACATAAAGACATTTTCAGTTTTCTCACTCTAAAATGTAATGGTTTCATCCTAATCAATACTGCAACAGTAATAAAGAATTTTGGTTATAAAGATTATACAATTTTCGTTGCTTTGGTACACGAAAAGAATATCTGAGTATCACACAGATATTTTATTAATTTATCTTTAACATGAGTACAAATATCAATTTTACTATTCGAAGCAGGAATTATCTATTTTTTTTAATAGATGGAAACTTGTTTCATTCAAAGATATATTTGAAATAAGTAATGCTTTGAAATACGCATACACCATGTTTCATTTGCATTAATCGAAAGGACAAATTTCGATTTTACAGTAATATTGAGTGAATAGATTCTATATCTTTTTGATGTTTCAGTAAGTAGCTATTTATTAAATATTATAGAAAGAAAGATTATTAGATTTAATTAAGAGAATCATAGAAATAATTTGTAAAAATGCATCTTTTATATGTTCTATTAAGAGAAATATATATTTTAACTTAATTGTTTCATTCACAGTTTGTCCATAACAAGTATAGGTATATCATTTCATACGTAGTGATACATTCGTTATCTACATGTACATGGTAACACTCAAATTGATTACACTAATTGATCTCTATGATACCTTTCATATCAATCCTATAGTAACTATGATAGTACCATTTTCTAATAATTCAGACTTTCATATTTATTTCAGTCTACAATCGATGTGCACTCACTTCAACGAGAGTAACAATACATCATTTAAAATAATTATTTCGAATCTACCATTGATTTTATGCTATACCGTTTTCATTTAATTTTTCGTATAATTTATTCAATACTTTAGCGCCCTCTCTTTTCAAACACGGCAGTCGTTAAAACATTGTTGTACACTTTGTCCATTCAAATTTTAATATTTTTCTTTGGTTCTGTTTTAATCGTATTTTATTTCAACTTTTTAAACTTGTCGATACATTTAATTCCATCGATAAAATGAGCAGCAGAACAAAACCACAAAGTAATTTTATATAGAAATTCTATTTTTTGTTAATAAATCCCTTTTATTTTTCATTATTTAGAAAAACGAAAACGCCATTCATCATCACCATCATATAAATCTCAAATAGCTCGACGATTAGAAA